TTGAGACCTGACAGTTTCCTTCCAAATTCCCCACTCTGACATTTGCTACATGATATGCTGTACACCCTAGCTCATTTCACATACCCCTCTCCTTACTTAATTTCTAGCATCCATCTTTTCTCTAACTCTGCCTCCTCTTCATACAAATCACCTCAGTAGTCGCCTCTCATTTTCAGCCAGCCCTCATAAGAGGAGACTCACTTCTGAAAATAATTTTAATGTAGCTCTTCAGGGCATACTTTCCTTGTTCCCTTTGGTTATTTGCCTTTCTTATTTATTAAGTGCTCATCTTGATATTATGGTGGTGCATTTGGTATTTGTGTCTTTGCCCTGGAAAAACCACTCTTACCTCCTTTCTTCATCACCCAGTGTCAATCATCCTTTCTGACTACACTGAGATATTACTACCAGTGGTTTTTATTGGTGTTCATCTTAAATTCTCTGTAGCTTCTCATTGTATCAACCAAACCATTTAATTAAAAAAAAAAATGCCACCAGACAGGCATGGTGGTACATGCCTATAATCCCAGTGTGACTTTGGAGGCTGAGGCAGAAGGAATCTAAGTTCAAGGCCAGCCCTAGTAACTCAAGTGAGACCCTCAGCAACTTAGAAAGACCCTGTTTCTAAATAAAAAAATAAAAAGGACTCTGGGGATATAGCTTAGTGGCAACGTACCACTGGGTTTAGTTCCCACTACCAAAAATAAATGCCATAAAAGTTTCAGGAACATTTTCCTGACCAGTTTTCTGTCTTTACTTCCACATTAAATTCAATCAGTTTTGTCTCCAGTCTGTGATCTAGCATTGTTTCTGGTTTTGTCTCTTATTCCCTTTCCTCGTTTGCCTATAGCCCCCCTGCTTAATATGAACACATCTCATTATTACTTATTGTGTATCCTGACTCTTCATACTTGATCATGACCTTTGTTCCTTCCATAGTCCTATCTCTCTCAGCTGACCTGTGCTACATTTGTGTTAACATACACTTCTCTCCTCTTCCTCTTGAAGAAAATCCTACCTAATTTAACCAGTCCCAAGAATTTGATCACCCCTTATAATACTGAAACAGATTCTGCACTCTTGATAAGTATACTCTTTCCTATATGGGTCAACTCACTACCATCCTCTATTTTCTGCATTCTCCTGAAACCATCAGACTCATTCTTAATAAGATTCCCACCAGTGGTTTGAATTAAGCACTCTCTTACCTATCTTGCCTCTAATCTTTCAGTCTCAGCTGCTCAAAGTCATCATAAAATAATTTTAAATGCAAGGTATTTCACAACTTGTTACTAAACAAAATGGTTGCCAACTACCCATGGACTTTTCCCTCTTTACTTTTGCTCTTCTACCAAGTTTTGAGATCCAACTGAACTGTTATATCCTGTCACTTAATCCTGTAAGCTCACACAGCACTTATTAAAATTTATATTATAGATAGATAAGTCACACTCCCACAAACCACACTTATTTAACTACAGCATAATCAGTTTTTAGAGAGGTCATGCCTCAGCCACCTTTTTTGTCTGAAGTGTCTGCCACATTAGCTTATACCTTTATGTGTAAATGTCAGTATGTTGGATGGATGAACTGATGGATGGATGGAGTTTAAAGTTAAGACTGAGTAGATGAAAGTCTTACTACCCAAACTGTCATGTGTAATCTTTACATTTGCATCTATTCTCCTTACCCATCCCCCAAACTAGTGCTCCAATTTCTAATATTTTTTGTACCTGTAAGCCTTTCCTAAACCATGGATTAGACCCTAAGTGCCTTCTGCCTAAATTCCCTCCTTCAAACAGCTTAGATAGTCCTATCTTCCTGAAGACTTCACCTTCCAAAAATGTGCCCACAACTCCATTTCTTAATACTTCCACCAGTCATCTCAAGCATAAAAGTAAGATGCCCACTTACTTTTCCATTTAAAGACATTGACTTTATCAATATTAGAACCTCGAAAATTGACAGTAATTACTAACTGTAGGTTAAAAGTTGACTTTTACAGCAAGTTCATTCTGATGATCCGTGGACTCCCTGTCAGTCCACAGTCTAARGATGGTATTTAATACTGAACTCTGATGTACTTGGTCAGTGTAAATTTGATGATCTGTATGCTTTTTACATCAGTATTTTTTGCTTTGTCAGGTCCCGGAACACTGGTTGTTTTTATTTTTCAACATACACACCCTTTTGACAGGCATGGCAAAAAGCCCCCAAAAGTATCTCCCCGGCTGCTTTGTTCACATCAATATAAAAACCGTTTGCCCATGTCATCTTTACTGTTTTAATCCATAGCATCATACTCAGTGAGACTGCCTTTTGGACCCATTCATTGCAGGCTGCTTTGATAACTATAACTCTAGAAAATAGGGCATGTGGGTGTGTAACTTGAAAACGTGGAGCACAGTACTCAGTATGGATGGTGCTTCCTAAGTAGTGACAGAAACTTCAAACTTGCACTACCCACTGATGTGGGTTTGCCTGCTCTTTCTCTCCCAGTTGCAGTCACATTTAGCTGCACCTTGAAGTTTACAGTCCGGGACTGTGACCCTAACACTGGAGTTCCAGATGAGGATGGGTATGATGATGAGTATGTGGTGAGTCGACCCTGCAGAGCTTTGACACCTTTACAACACTAAGTGACTTCTGCCTTGAAGTGTTTTTCTAGGAACAGCTGACATGAACCCATGGGCTTCCTGTTATTAAACAGATTACAGTTGAGGATGACCTGAACTACTCCTATTCTCTAATGGGATTGCATTATGGCAAAGAGAATTAAAATTGACCACTTCAAGATTAGTTAAAACAAAGAAACTCAACCCCTTTTCCCTTATATCTTGGTGTTCAAACTAAAAATGGTTTGGTTGATACAATGAGAAGTTACAGGGAATTTAAGGTGAACACCAAGATATAAGGGGAAAAGGGATAATTAAGAGATGGAAATAATTATGATTTTTTCATGAGATTATAATAAATGAGATCAGTTTTATTAAAAGTGGATTGTATTATTTCTGCTTCAATACTTTTAGTTTGCTTACTGCCAGATCAGGGACTGAAAAGCCTTCACAGAAAGGAGGGAAAACTTTAAATTAAAAAAAAAAAAAAAAAACAACAAAAAACCCTGTTTGTGAATGTAATATTTAGAAGGTACTGAACAACCTGAAATGCATAGTTGGGTGTGGCAACAGGACTGCTGTGCACTTTAGGGCTACAGGTGGTGATCTGACAGATGTCCTGTTTTCTTACTTGCTTGTGTTAAGGCCTACAACATTAGGTTTATACAGACTACATAACTTAAACTGTTGTGGTAACAGAGTTTTTCTTAGGCCCCAACAGGGATTTAACATAGAATGATAAATGATTATGTTCCTTCCCTCTTTGTTCTGTACCAAAAAGGATTTTTATTTATCGATCCTTGCTTATTACCCCTAGCTGGAAGATCTTGAAGTGACTGTGTCTGATCACATTCAGAAGGTTCTGAAACCTAACTTTGCTGCCGCCTGGGAAGAGGTGGGAGATACCTTTGAGAAGGAGGAAACCTTTGCCCTCAGCTCTACAAAAACCCTTGAAGGTGAGAACAATTTTGCTGCCAGTGTTATTGCCTGATAGCAGTATCAACCTAATAGACATATATATTATTCCAGAACTCCTTTTTCTTTAAATCCTTCATAACTCATCTACTTAAAAGGCCAGGTTCCTGTCTTCATCATCTAATTAAGTCAACTATTTTCTAGGCCAGTACCCTCCCTATATGCCATCTATACCCCTGTTTACCCCCAGCTCCCAAGACACCCCAGAACAGCGGCAGATCCCTGTGCTGAACTATTCTAATACTGTTGCATAAACCTTCTCTACACAGAAGCTGTCAGCAATATCATCACATTTCTGGGCATGCAGCCATGTGAGAGGTCAGATAAAGTACCTGAGAACAAGAATTCCCACTCACTCTATCTGGCAGGTAAGAGACTTGGATCACATTTCTCTTAAATTTTGTTCCAAATTTAATAGGAAGGGATGTGGATGAGCATCCTGTGCCCTGCTATTGTCCATCATCCCATTATGTGAGCAAGAATTTGAAGTACAGTCAAAATGAATAATTTGTTTTGCATGCGATTCTTAGGTTCTTTTAAGATGTATATCTGGCCCAAGATACTGAAGTCTTACACAGCTACCAGTGCTGCCTCTCCCTCTGTCTTTTGAATACTCCAAATCAATATTATTCAATGCCTTCTGTGTGCCTGGTCTCATGAGACTATTGTTTAAAAATAGAATTTATATGAAGGATTCAACTCCCACAAATTTCTAGAAAAGCTAAACTAAAATAATAGAAAGGAGATGTAGGCAGAGCATGATAAATTTCATTATTTAGAGCTTGAGTTCTTAAATGTGGTTTTCCTCACTTTTTTCCTTTCCTCACTTTTTTCCTCTCAGGTATATACAGAGGTGGCTTTGACTTATTGGTGAGGTCCAGGCTGGCCTTAGCAGATGGAGTGACCATGCAGGTGACTGTCAGAAGCAAAGAGAGAACACCTGTAGATGTTATCTTGGCTTCTGTTGGATAAGTTCTTACTGGGCAAGATGAAGTTGATGTGTATGTATGTACATCACTGTCAGAGAGCTTTTAGGCTAGCGGCATGAATTTCCCAAAATCACACTTTAAACAAACTAAGTGCTTGGCTCTGAGCCAGCAGATTAAGCCAATGTCTGTCCTTGTGCATGGGTTTTGGTGTTCCTTGGTTTTGGATTTTTCCTTTCTCACTTGGTCAGCTCTGGTATGACAGTGCAGCTTTGGGTGAGCTTGAAAATCAAATATTATCCTATATTCCAGCTGCTTAACTTCATTGTATTCTTTTGTTTAATGTGTGAAAGCTCCTGGCAATGTTGGAAAATTTTATCCCAAAGGGGTGGTGGGGGAGGGGAAGCCAGAATCCACTTTAGTCACAATTCATTTTTATTAATAGAAAATAAACACTTATTCCAGTTTCAAAGTTGTTATACTTGAAGTTCCTAATTTTTAAAAAACGAATTTAAAATTAATCACTTAATAATCCTACTTTGACTAAGACAGTGAAACTGTGGCTTAAAAAAAACTATTCAGCACCATTTGCTTATAGGTCTTTGAGAATTTGTTCTTAAAGTGTCTGGGAACTATCCTGTCGGCTAAGTACAGGAACTGCTGAGCTGCATGAGAAACCCTCTCTGGGAGAGCCAATGGAAAGCTAAGCCACCATCACCAGAGGAGTCAGTGTACTTCAGCAAGGTAAYTCGAGTATACAAGGGTCCCCTCCCTACACTTCAGCCCAGGAGGGACATGCTTCTAAGCACTGAGGTATGAGTAGTTAGACTATTATTTGCTGTTAGAATTTATCTTTCCAGCTAATAACAGTAAATCTCTGGCACAGATGCAATTGGTTCTTAGTGTCTGTGATTTTAGGAAATTCTGTAAAAATTTGGATTTAGTTTACTCAGAAATTACACATTTAATAAGGTTCACTACTTTGGCAGAGTTAAGGTCTGCCATTTTAGTGTCCTTATAAACTATATACAATGTGTAGGCATATCACACTCTTATACCATACTTTAAAATACTGCATTACTAACACAAATATTTTAACAAAAAGTCTATAATTTGAAGCAGCTGATGAAACTAATCCAAAGTATGACAAGGGATATTCACTCTCACTTAAACTATGTTGCCTAGAGAACTTTAAAAACCATGTACCCTTCAAGCCGTTCAAGGAGAGATAACAGGCCCCACTCCTCATTCTCTACTGTGGAATTCYAATTCGGGTTGGGCCAGAAATTAGCACTTTTAGATACTTCAGGAAAGTTCCACAGAAGTGTTAAAAAGTCTTCTAAGCAAAAGAATGTCTAATGCCTGTCTCTATGCATCCATGAGAAGTCATGCTCATCAGAATTTCCTAATAACACAAAGACAAGTCTATATACTTCATCAGATGTCAAAGGAATGAGGTGGGCTATTTTGTCAGAGTTTCTGCTGCCTTTTTTCTATACTCTGATCCATCAATGTGAGTAAAGTGGACTTTTGTAAGAAAACAGTGTTTGATTGCCAGGACCTCTTTTGGGCATTTCTTCCTAAGTGGAATACACAACAGATACGGGAGTGGGGGAGATAATACAGGGAAGCTACTCTTTCCAGCTCAGAAGGAGTTGATGAAGCCCATATATGCATTCAAGAAGCCCATGGGATCCTCTAGCTGTGGGTAGTGGCTAATGTGGTCATCCAGAATCGACACTGTGGACCGCGGCAGCGTTTTCCTAGTGGAAGAGAACAGCATGTAGGTGAACTTAAGGCTGGAGGGAAGGGAGGAGGTAAGCCAGTGGGAAGCCCCACCAAATGCCCCTGCAGATATATATCACACTAGAAGGAACCAACAAAAAGCTTATTCGCCTTCTACTTTGGAATTATCTAAGGCAGATAAACTTGCAATTCCACTTATGCAGACTAGTTTTTAATTGTTCATAATTCAACACACAACAACTTGAAAATATAACACTTTTGCAACAGTTGCAAAACAGGATGACTTTCAGCTCTTTAGAGAAGCATGAAGCATCGAACAAGTGGATCACTCAGCAACTCACTGCCCCAAGCAAAGATAACCAAGGACCTTCCTTAATCTCAGGAGGTGATAAGAGAGGGGATTTTGACTAAAATTACAAGCAAGCCATCTACTACTAGGCCATATATGTCCACTAGGCTATATGAAGGTATGGAACAGTCTTACATGACATAGTCAAAAAGATTTCATATTCCAACACCTTCCAAGTAAGTACCCAGAGAGCATAACAACTAATGAGAAGGCACTTTTCCTCTTAATCTCTCCTATCAGTCTGCTCAGTTTAGGTCAACAAACTGGCTTTACAGTCAGATTAAAACAAACATTTAAGATATATCCACTTTCATTCCTTGGTTCACATGATAGCTTTTTCTTATCTCTATACCTAGGAATATGAAATAGCCGTAATAGTGAAAACAGGCTATACACAATAAGAGAATATATAACTCAGTTTCTTGATCTTTCCATGATATGGTTTCTGGATGAACAGCCAGTGAGGTCAGAGACAATAGCTAGTGCCAACAGCCTCAACAGGTAATTCTGTTTACCCCTGTCAGGATGAAATACTGACAAAACACCTCTGAGCAAGACTCACCTGTACAGTTCCAAAAACTCTGGATAGGGATTTATAGGATCCAATGGCCCATAGATAAAATGAACTAAGAAACAGAAGAGGGATGAATTACCAACAGCTCTCATTTCTGTTTTCCTACTGCCATCCTAAAATTAACTCCCCTACCTCAAAAAAAAAATTTTTTTTTGGCAAATTAAACAAATTTTTTTCTGATAGGAAACCTAGCTTCTTTTAATAGGTAAACTACAAAGAAAATGGGAACAAGTCAGTTGTTTCATTTGGCACACTTTCTCCTATATAYAGCCATTTTATCCTTCCAGGTCTTCTGTTCCTGGACCAAAAAGAATAAGCTTTCAACATTCTCATTTTGTAAATCCAAGATATTGTCATAGTTTAAAAGTCTCTACAGTTATTTGAAATCAACCAATAATTTCTTGAGCACTAACTACTGTATGTGAGGCCTATGTCAATATTTTCATTCTGTGAGAGTGAAGACACCAATGAGCTCAAACCACCTATATCCTCTTGATTAGTAATCTCAACAGCCTCCTGTCACAGTAGTTCACCAATGCCAACTACATGTTTCAGTGGTTTATACATTTGACTCTACATACATCACTGGTGTTCCAGATGTTAGAAGTAGTATTGCTAATGAAATAAAAGGACACCAAGTTAAATTTGAATTTCAGGTAAAAAACAAAAATTTTGGTTTTCTTTGTTGATACTAATTCTCAAAATATAGTTACTGTTTAGCTAAAATTCAGATTTAACTGAGTTGCAGTTATTTTAACTTAAGTTTTCCTATCAAAAGTAATGTAAGAATACTCACTGGGAATAGTTACAGAGGCAAGAGCTCCCACCCAGCGTCTTCTAAACTTCTTCCTCTGATTAATGTACTGTAAGAGACTATAGGACAGGTAAGTCAGCAGGAGCAGAACAAGAAACCTTGATTATTAGTGGAACTCCAAAGCCTGATCTGAGCCACAAGGAACACTTTTGCATCTGGAAGCAACTTAGATGTCCTGAGAATGGCCCACTTTATCCATTTGTATTAAGTACCCTCTGGCTACAGCAGTGATCACACCTCTCATATCAACAGAAGCACAAATGGGCCTATGCATTTATTAAGCAGGGAATGAGAGCTCAGGAAGGCTGAAGGTTGCTTTGGAGCATATGTGACTAAAACCTGGACTTAAGGTTCTGATTTTAGCTCCACCACTAACCAGCTCAATGACTCAAAGTTATAACACACATCTTCTGATCTCAGTTTTCTCTTTTTTAAAATAGGAGGAATGAACTACATGATCTCTAAGTTGACATCGTCCTCTAAAATTAAGTGTAGAAGCTCATGAACATAAAAATGTCATCTCTGTACTTCATCTGATCACAGACAGAATGGGGAGAATTCCTTTTCCTAAAGTGCAAAATGTTGTAGCCACATTTCAGCTCCCAGATTCATGCACTGTTCTTCCTGACAACTCCAGGATGATGAYAATAATTATTATTATTATTATTATTTGTGAACCCAAATATCACCTCTTATTATTCACTTTTTTGAAGAATTTTTAAGGAGATCATGTTTGTTCTTCAGTTTTTTATATTAAAACTAATCTTGAAGGATTTCACAAGGACTTATGTTAGGAGAGGAATGACTCCTGCTAACACACAATCCCAGCAAAGTCATCAGTTAAAAACACTGATGCTACTTGACCCCACTGATAAAAAAGACAGGGCCTCAAGTAGTTATGGATATTACCATCTCTAGGTCCCTCAGTAAGAACCAAGGCATGGCAGTTCTTGGTATAAGACAGAGAAGTCTTGCATCTCATTCCCTGTTGCTATTGAAAAGATATGCAAAAGAAAGAGCCTTGATACTTTTTTGAGAGGTACTAGGCTCCTTTCACAACTATGATTGGACATTTTGAAGCATTAAAAAAGACATCTAAAGTGTATCAGTCAATTAGCATTAGAATTCATAGCTATTTATCCACCCCTCTTGCACCAAATGGTTAGGCACAGGGCTCACCGTATCTATTTCYTTTTGAAAAGCAGAGACCAAGACGGGTTTTCAGTTTGCCTCATAGGTCCTAACCAGCCTTCTTGTGATAAGAACAAGTCATCAAATAGAAGCAATCTTGCATCTTGCCCCACTTTCCAAAAGAGCCTCTCCAGAACCCAAAGGAAAGGTTTATTTCTTACCTGTCAATCACCAAGTTCCCGTCATTGTTTCGGATCCCTGCCCACATATCCCACAGCTCACTCTCGGAGGGTCGAGTGTATGGTCCAAAGACGGGAGTAAGACTGAAAAGAGGCCAGAATGCAGGAAGATAAGTGTGGAGAGAATTCAGAATGTTAAATATGGCTGGAACCTCAGAGGTCATGAAGTCTGACCCTTAACTGATTTATGAATTCCTTCTACTACTTTCCTGGCAAGTGGCCAACACCTTTGCCTGAATATCTCAAACCCCAGGATTTGGCCCTGAATTGTAATGGTAGCAACTTTTCACTACAGCGTTCCCAGGCCATACTCCCATCTTTGATAAAGACTTACCCTCGAGAAAATACAAAGAAGTTCATCAACCTCGTGAGGATGGGTGACAGCACACCTCCATCTTTAAGTAGCTGTAGATAATAAGTGAAAGTAAAAATSAAGAATCCAGAGAAACCAACTCATCAGGACAAAAAGTTTTATACTAGGAACTAAAAAGCTCCCCCTGAAAAGTTCCATGGTTAGCTTCAATTTTGTTTTGTCTACCCACATTATTCTCTCATAGAAGACAAATATATTTCTAATTATCATTACGATTACACTTCTATACTTCACTAAACCCCTAATATACTTTTTTCTTTTTAAAGAAGCAGTATCTCAGGCACCGTGGTGCACACCTGTAATCCCAGTTACCTGGGAGGCTGACGCAGGGGGATTAAAAACATAAGGCCAGTCTGAGCAATAAAGTGGGACCCGTCTCAAAAAAAGAAAAGAATCAGGGTCTATGTTGCCCAGGCTGGCCCTAAATTTCTGGGCTCAAGACATTCTCCTAGCTCAGCCTCCCAAGTAGCTTGGTACTATAGGTGTACTCCATAGCACCTGGCCATAAATCCTTAGGGCTTTTAACTTTTGTGTATTCAAGCTTAGACTAGGATCCCAGTTTGTTCAGATATCATACTTCATACTTGTGACACAGATCTTTACATAGTTCATCTATTCATCTCATTCTCAGAAATAGTTTTCAGTTTTATGTAGGAGCCACTTCCACTGCTTTGTTTGCCTAAGAATTCATAAGGAGGAGAAAATTAATTGTAGCTCATTACAGCAGGTATAACCCTTAAAAGGTTTACTTTACTTAATATCAACACAAGCCTTAAAATTGAGGACCTCTTCAGGGAAGTAGCCAACCTTTTGGAGAAGGAGAGGCCGGTGAGTCTCAGGAAAGATACCTGTAGAAGAAGAGATTTCTCTTAGTCATTTACCATCAACTCTTAAGTCAAAAGAAAGACTGTTATCAGAAAGTATCCACCCTATCCTTTGTCACCTTTTGGGCCGTTAGCCAATAACAAATTTCAACCAACAGCGGACTGCATATATGTGTATCCCCCTCGTTAAGCAAGGCATGACTATTATTTTCTATGATTACTTCTCCAGAGTGTTTTGTGTTTACCYAATTAAATTATATCCTACTGGAATTTTTCCCCCATTTTAAGGGTGGGAAAAATAATTACACAACTATCCATAATGCTGATGACTAGGCTGACTCCACTTAGCATTTCCTCCCACCACACAGAACACAGTGTTGTTAATGATTTGGGCTTCAGAAACACAAGATTCTTTCAGTAAGTGAAGGTCCTAAAAGAAAATGGGGGGGGGGGGGGACAACTAGTTTTTTCTTTTCCATTTCTCTCCAGAATCAATGGAAGAAAGACATAAATATTGCTGAAAAAGGAACAGACTTAACTCTTCTCCCAAGCTGCCCTTAAGGCATTCAGGGGACATTTGGATATTCATGGATTTAAAGCAGTGCTCAATGGCACACAAAGAAAAAGAAATATTTCCAAAAGTTCTAATCTGGGGCCCACTGATTTCCTCCTGAAACTTGGTATTGCCATCAAATAAGAATTTTAAGACTCTAATACTTATACCATATATCTATGGTATCTATGACTTATTTTTTTCATAACCTGCTACAGTCATTACAAATACATCAAAGCAGCACTTACCCTCCTCATTACTTCTAATCAGAGTGCTACCAGACCCACCATTAGATCTCACTGTCTAATGCACTACAAAAGCAGTACATATTACTGTGATACAGGTTCTTATTGACTGTATGTCAACATAATCACTTTCCTTTGTAAGCCTATTTATTTTTCTATATTTAAAATCATCCTTTTGAAAAGGGGTTCATAAATGTCATCAACCACCAAAGCAATTCACGGCACAAAAAAGATAAAAGATCTTCAAGACTGTGTCTGCTTGCAGTATCATCAGATTATACTTAGATGTCCCTATATCATCTAAAGGTGGCCCTCCTAGGCTATGCCCCACTTTTCCACCCTCTGCCAAGACAGACAGTTACCTCCATTTGAAAGACAGAGACTCTTTATAGTAAGCCGGCCAGATCGATTTTGCTTGTACCTGGAGCAGGGGATGAGGAAACACACACACTTAGCTGAGCAGACTGACACCAGCGCAGCAGCTGATCACAACCCCGCCCCCCCCCCAAAAAAGAATAGCAGGGGGCCAGGAACAATTTACTTTCCCAGCATCTTAAGCTAGTGTGCAGCCTGTGAAGAGGCAGAAATCTGGCTTCACTGACCTATACAGCAGCTCCTGAGCAACAATGTCTCCATAGTCATGAGACAACAGGTTGATCCTACGGTTCTGGAGTCCTAGATGGCGCAAAAGCGCCTCCACGATGCTGGCCTGCTCAAATATGGAATAGTGGTGTGGTCTCTAAGAAAAGGAAAGGCCAGATACACAGGATAAAGTTACGTACAGGTCTCTCTGCCAGCCTGACCCCTCCATCCACATCCTCCCCAGTCCCAATACTGGTTCCATATAGGTGCTTCTCACCGGTTTGTCACTGAAGCCAAAGCCTAAGAAGTCAAGGGCAATCACTCGATGAAACCTCAGGGTCAGACCTTCCCAAATCTATAAGAAAGGAAGGATGATTTGGATTTTCTGCTCCTGCGCTGCGCCTCCCCTCCCGTGACCCACAGTAGCACAGAAGCTTCATCCCTATCCCAGCTTTACAGATGGACTTTGATAAAGTGAAAACCTCATGAAACTACCACTAGCCACCCCCGAGTTGATCCTCCTGGAAAGTGCTTGATTCCTAGTGATTAATCTATTGAAGGTGAAGCTCCAGCATTGTTAACTTCGCAATGAGCCTTTCCAGACTGCCAAAGTGTTTTTTACTCCCTTACAGTAAATGAGAAACAGTTAAATGTTTAATGCTATTTCATAAAGTGATTTAAATTTTCAAGAGCCTTGTAGTGCTAACAAGAAAATCCTTGATTTTTGTATTTTTTAAGACATAGTAGGACCTAGAAATCTGACTTCATTACCTTGTACCAGTCATAGCTGGAAGTTGGAAAGCCATGTAAAAGCACAACTATCTCAGGACTGCCAACCACACCCACAGAGTCTGGAAAAAAAGGCAGATCGATTAGGCCAACTCCCTATAAAAATAACTTTGAATATGTTAAAATCTTAACTAATATGGTATAAAGGACAAAAATCTATAACCAAGTTAAACTGATATATTGCTTTTTAAAATGAAAGCTAATCGCTTCAAGTAATAACAGGCACTTTTTCTTTTAATCTGTATATTGAAAAATTATAAATAGGATACTTCCTGTGAAAATATGAAGGTAGCTTGCTTTACTTAAATTTCCTTTGAAAGGCGTATCTATATCTCCCTTTCTTTTATATTAAGTTAAAATACAAGCTTATTCACAGTAAAAAGTAAACTTTCCCAGTTAAAAATGTATCATCAACACATAAACTAAAAATTTTTTGTAATTTATCAGTAACTTATTACAAAAATTCTATAATACTGAGCAATTCTTCCTGTGAGCCTTTAGAAGAAAACCAATCTGGTATCAAAAGCATAATGTTCAAACTATTATACAATACTATTATACAATTATATCGACTACAAAAAAGCATTAATCAATATACATAGGAACATTTTTTAATGCATATGATACTATGGAGTAATTATACATCTTTCAGATTAGCCAGATAGACAATAAAATGCCTTACTAATAATACTGGATTAAAATGAATACATTTATATACTGCCTGTGGCATGAAAATTCAGTAATAAGATTTTTTAAAATAATTTACAGCAATTAAAAATGTTATATACTTTAGCCAAGAAGCTTTATTCTTAATCTGTACAAATAATCTGTGCAACAACAAATATTGAAGATCTGGAAATAAACCAAACCAATATAATATATACTTACTTAATTGAATATAGCAAATGAGAGGAGGTCAGGAGCAATAATGAAAAACGGTTTATGACAAACATTTTTCGTTATTGCTCTTGACCCCCGCCCAAAARAAATCTTTTCCAGTCTGTTTCCCAGTTTCTTCACCTATAAAATGAGATTAATGGCACCTATCTCCAAATACTGTTGTAAAGATTCAATGAAACAATGAAGGTTGAAAATGTAACTCGATGCCTGGCATATGGTTATTACTTAGTAAGTACAGTCATAGTAATTATCATTAGCAAATTAATTTATACAACAGTATAAGACTTAAATCACATTTAAAAATCTTTATAGAAAACAATTCAATAAAATTAAATCAGGAATTGGGGGGAGAAAAACAATGGTAGCTACATCTCTGAATACTGTACATATAACCTGACACTAGGGGTGCTCAGAAGAGAAAACTAATATCTGAATACAAATCAAGCTACACCAAAAAAAAAAAAAAAAATACTTACTAAAAAGTCGTATACAGAGATTGGACTCTTAATTCCAACCCCCACCCCCACAGCTTTCTGAGTCAACCGGCTCTCCAGTGAATGAGGGGAATTAATCCACGCCCCTCATTCCTTCAGGGACACTAAACAGAGAAAGGGTTACTCCCCTCCATCACTAAGGGGCAATAGAGACCAAGGGACACAAAATAAGTACCTTGGCTGGGACCTAGGAGGATCACTCCCATAGGGTATTCCAGTAATCCAGTTCTTACCCTGGTAGAAGATGCGCAGTCCCTTGTAGGTGAAAAACTTGCCAGAAGTCTTCCATGAGTGCAGCGCAGGAGAGAGCTGAGGGGGTGGGATGTGCAGGTACGCGGCCAGCAGGGGCACGGCCAGTAGCCCCACCTGGACCCACCACTCCCTCATCCTGTGGGAAAAGCAGTTGGGGTAATATGGTACACTTCCACAACCTGAGCTGGGAGCAAGGAGTGGGAAACTTTTGTACCATACAGTGACTATATTGCCCACCAGCCCCCCCACCACCACCACCAAGGGCAAAAAGTTTATCAAGTAGAATTAGATCACACCTCTGTGGCTGTGGCAATCACCATAATTTGCTCACCACTCTACTTTTAAGGGGAAAATATATTATTTGAGTATGTAACCTTCTACCTACCTTCAGCCACTTTAACCCCTCAGCTCCCCCATACACACACACACACATATACCTTTGTGCTCTTCCTGATATCTGCTAAAGAGGTTTCCCAAGGAAAAATATAACTTCCTGCATATTCTAAAAACTCTAACACCTATTCAACAACCCCTAATGTTTAAAATACATATACTTGCTACTAATGTCTTAAAATGTGTGTGTGTGTGTGTGTGTGTGTGAGAAAGAGAGACAGACTGACTTATCACATGTCCTTAAATAGAGAGCTGCTTCTGATTTTAAATACTTGTCAACCCTCTGATCCAAGTGAAGCTCCCTTTAGCACTACTGTCCAGATTTGGGCTGAGAAACCATTTAGGGTAAAGAGTCTGTAAAAGCAACAAGACAGCTGCTCCACTGTATATTCCAACATAAGCAGCTTTGTTATGAGCCTGCATATCTAATCTCTTAAAAATAAGTCTGGGCAACAGATTATATTCCTCCTTTTCTTAGCAGACTCTAAGTACTCATTTAATTAATTTCATGACACCCCCCACCACCACCCCAACCCCCCCACCACCCCAAATATGACAGACCCAGCATGTGAGAATTGTTTTTTCTCTTTGGAAAGAAAGCACTGTTCTACACCCAGTCTTGCCATGCCCAGAACTTCAAAGATCCAGATAATTCATGCACACTGAATTAGAAACCTTTTCCTGTGTCCAGTCTTCGACTCCCCATGGTCACCAGGGAAAGAATTCCCAGTTGTTTTATCAAACAGCCAGAATGGAAACAATATCCTCCAAAACTTAAAATAAGAGATGTCAATAAAATTGTCATTAAAATAGCCACAAATAAAGGAGATCAATTGCTCACACCTTGGTGAAACCGGCTTTGCGTCCATGCGCTCACCCTGCCATTGTGTTACCCGTAATCTGGCCACAACCCCTACCCAACGTGAGCAAATCCATTCACAAAAATGCCTTTTTTTTTTTTTTTTACTAAAAAATATACCCATGATTCCACTATGCTAAAATAACCATGTCCCTTAAGCTCAGTTCCCTGCATATGGTTTTTAGCCATCACTAGGGTAGTCTTCCCCGCCCCTGAAGTACCTGCCTATAAAACAGAAACCAAGATTTAGTTCTACCTTTCAAGGTAATAATAGAAACGATTGGAAAAGTGCTGGAACAAGAGGGTTATATCACAATCTGCACCGCGCAATAGCGGCAGGCTACATCCCAGTACCGCCTCCTAAATAACAAAAAAACAATTGGTTTTCTTTATCATTTTCTCAGTGCTATCTGCCCTATACCTCAATTAATTTATTTTTCAAATCATCTCTCCTGGCATCCATTCACAGTCCCAGCAGCAGAATCTGCAGTGACTCAGCAAAGCACCAGGGAGGGACTCCTTTGGCAGCAAACCATGAGGGGGGGGGGCAAAAACCCCACACCCGATACCCACGCTGCGCTCCTGCACAACCCACCACTGGCCCTCTTTTACTCTGAGAAGCAAATCAGCCCCTTAGAGAGTTATTCTCTGTCTTAATTGCCTCGGTAAAATTGCTCCACCGACATTTTAGAATTTTTAGTAGTGAAGCAAGTACGTAGATAAAATGGATTAACATTTTAATCCATTTTTTTGCCAAATTCCCATTATTTGATGGAGTCATGATTCAGAGTATAAATTCAACAAACTCCAGTAAAAACTATGGCGATTAACCTCTCTGAGCCTTGATTTCTTCATCTTGTACATGGGAAAAATGCATTTGTCTAATATTACCTGATGGCATCGCTGTGAGAGGACGAACTGCTCTGTAAACCCGCTAAATCAAACATTGCCGGTTACAGCACGACAGTTTGGTCGCATCCCAATTACCCCTCGCACATCTCGTTACCGACCTCTGAACAATACTTAACATCTTGGAGATACGGCGCGGCAAGTTCTAGTCACACCTTTGCGGTAACACGCCACCGAGACGCCAGGATCTGGAAATCTTAAATTGCGCTACTGCAATAGCTGGGTCTAAATCACTCCACAACAATACCAGGGGTCTGGAAATCAAATCCAGCAGGGCAATACTGGGGTCTAGAAACCCCAAGTCACAAGCCAGTGAGGGTAGGGTCTAAAAATCCTAAATCACAACTGGGCATTATCAGGATCGCGAAATCATAAGTCACGCCACAGCAATGACTAGATCTGGAAATCCTAAATCACACCACGTCAATGGTGGGGTCTTAAAAATCGTAAACCACACGAGTGATTCCAGGATGTAAAGATCATAAGTCACACTACAAAGATGACCGGATCTAAAAATCCTAATTCGCAGCAAGGCGATACCGGGGGTCTGGAGATCATACATCATATTGGGGTGAGCCCATGGTCTAAAAATCTCAAACCTTAACTGGGCGACCCCGGGGTTTAAAAATAAGCCAGAGACCCCAAATTTGAAACATTCTACGGCTGACCGAAGTGACCCCACTAACACCAAGGAGACAGAACGGTGGCCGGCTGGGTGGGGTTTTCTTTACAAGGCAGCTGGGCACTGCCAGGCAGAGTCCCCAGCATCGGCCGGCACCCGAGACTAGGATCAGCCGGCCACACCCCCACGCGCCCTCCACCGCAGCCCGCACGCACCCACCTGCGGAGGCGATCTCGGCGCACCATGGCCGCGTTATCCCATGCCGCCCGCCGCAGGGTTGCAGAGCACTGGGCGCGCTGAGGCGCCTGCAGCTGTGCAAGGTCGGTGGCGGCAGGAACGCTGCCCACCGCCGGCACACGGCAGCCGGCAGCGGCGGCAATGAGCGGCTACTTGGGCGATGCGGCACTGCTCCGGCTGGCGAGGCGCGGCTGCCGCAGAGGAGGTGCCCGGGCTGCCGCCGCCTGCCAGGAGGCGCTGAGAAGTGCTGGTGGCCGCAGCAGTGCCGAGCGAGCGGGCACCGACTTTTAGAGCCCACCCGCGCCCCGCCCCTGGACCGCCCACCACACCGCAGCGCCCCTCCCGAGCGCGCCAGCCGCAGAGCCCCTCCCAGCAGCCCTGCCACCGCCGCAGTGGTGGGGTGCCCCCCTCACGCGCCTTCAGAAGTGTAGATCGCCCCCAGCATCCCACCGCTTCCTTGCAGACCCCCAAACCCTGAGTTCGTGATTCTGCTGCAGAACCCTTCCTTGGAAGTTAAGGCCTGAGGCAAAGATGGCAGACCCCTGAGACCCCAAAACTCCCCTAACAGTAACCACAGGCCCCAGCCCTAGAGGGTGGCCGATTGACCTAAAGGAGAACAGGGCTGTGGTCCTTGCCGCGGCGCCTGTTTGCATTCAATGCCCAAAGTGTGGATGCCAAATCCTATGAGTGCCCATGTCCGAAAGAGCGGACCGCGAGCACCCAACATCTCCCAAGTCTCTAAGTATGGGTAATGACCAAGGGAACCATAAGCTCTGTGGGACTCTCCAGGTTAGGGGGAACATATAGGATGGCTGCTACGGAGCAAAGCAGGCCAAAGTTGCACAAAGTGTGGTTTCCTTCGGGCAACCGCAGCAGTGCGGGACACGTTTCCTCTACAGCAGTGCGACGTGGTTGGCATGCCGGAGGCCACCGCAGCGCAGATTCCGCGCGCGGCACTGGACCTGCCACACAATCAGGGCAGCAAGACCCCCTTTATGTGCAGCAAATCATAATGCAGAGACACCAAAGGTGCAGGAAAGAGGAAAGGGATTTTCTTTAACCCATAGTCCTTTAAAAGGCATTTATTACACCTTTGAAAAGAGAAGTGTCGAGCATCAGAGTATCTACATACATTTTCTGTCTATAAATTGAAATTTTGATGGCCGCGATCAGGCTGAGCGTTAACAAGTGAGGCAGCAGCCCAGAGCCGGCCGGTCCAGCGGGGGCGCTGCAGACCTCTGTTCCGCACTGGGCAGAAGCCTTTCCAATACTTCGCGGAGTCTTAGGCCAGCAGTGCAGACAGCACCACTCGGCAAAAGTCTGGCCACAGGGCTAGCCGAGGCTGCCGGTATCTAATCGCACCAGGAGCCTAGGGCCACCCACCAGACTCTGTAGACGCCAGCCTTAGGAACATGTCATCAGAACGTGTGGCGCATAGAGGGTATACCAAGGTCTGATTAAGAGGGGCATGAAACAAATGCTTGTTTTAGCACGTAGCACTAAGAGCCGGGTACAAAATAAATGAGAAAGGGCTCCTGCCCCAGAGAAAGACACTGGCCATCTGGAGGTGTGGGTAGAGATAAGAATTGATGCTTTTAAAAATTTCCTTTTGATTTCCTAGCAACATTTTGTTACAGATCGGCGCCCTCCTCCCCAACCGGTAAGGCCCTCAAAGACCAAACCCAAGTGTTATTCACCTTTTGTATCCCCAGAGCCCGCCACGGTGCCAGTCACAAAGCAGGCCCCTAACAAACACTGCATGAATAAGTACAAAAATTTGAGGGCGCAAAGGGGAGGAAGTAATTAAGAGGAGGGGGGAAGGGTTGTCTTGAATGATGAATAGACATTTACCGGGAGAGACAAAGAACATTCCAGCCAGAGGGGACTGCATTTGCAAAGCATGGGAGGCTCAGGACGGCACAACCATTGGGGAAAAAGGCACGACCTTTGGGCCCCCGGGCCCCAACGGACAAAAAATTAGGCTAGAAAGAGTAGTCCATCGGAAAGAGGCTGGAATTTGTCCTAAAGAAAAAGAGAAGCCACAGATGGATTTAAATCCTAAAAGGCCTTAATTGGTTACTTAACAAAATTTAAATGAGTCTCTTTACAAGTTGAGGATTACCTATACTAACTAGCCACTGCCACTTTTTAAAGACTGAATTACTTAGCAAGATTTAAACTGGTCCTTTCAACAAAGTAAGGACATTCCTATTTTAACTATTGAAAACAATAGCAAGGGCCTCTGCATTATATATTTCTCATATTTATCCTCAATGGAACCTTTGAGACCTACAAACAATTCCATACTTTCATTCTCACAGGCCAGAAGCACCAGCATCCAAGATGAAGGCAATTTTCTAATTAATGGACTAAGTGCCCCACAAAGGATCCTATTCTGAAGGCCACAGAACATATCTACCCACATGGAACAAGTGTGTAGACTGGGGGAGAAACAGTGTAAGCCCCTAGGGGAAAAAGGAGAGCCAGGAAAAGCTCCCAAAAACTAACAGAAATCCCAAATCTGATGGTGAGGAGAAATCCTCCCTGCACAGAGTGACTAGGAAAAACTTCTTTGGAGAAGGGGAATGGAGATCGATAGCCGTGGAGCCCAGAACCTGGTTAAATAGAAAAAGCATTCCAGTTGGGAAAAAATCTCTGCACAATAACAATGAGTCGGAAAAATGCAGAGCATTCTATGACAAATCAGCTTGGTTAAAGCCGGGAATTTGCCTTCGGAAGTGGAGGGAGAAAATGCTGACCATGATGCCCCAGGAGTCAAAGAGTTAAGGAATCTTCTAATGGTGCCCGACTTAATTCCAGAAGGAAGCTTCTCTGCAGAGGGAGAATCTGGCCCGAGGTATACAACCCTTGGAAGTGCCTGAGAAAACAGACCGTACATAAATACTAAGTCAGCCTCTGGCTTGCTCTCAGGGCACCCCTTCAGTTCTTCCAAAGGGATCCTATCTTGACCAACATCACATGCAGCAGTATTTCCTCAGACAACAGCTTATCAGACATTCCTATCACATTCCAACTCTATCACAGTAAGACCTCAGATTTGTGCAAAAATTAGTGTAGAAAGCTCTGCATTTTCCATCTCATTGATGCACAATAGCGTTAGGAAATCGTCAGGGCTGGTTCCACAGGCTCAATAATCATACTTTTCTAACCTCAATTTTAGACCCAAATTCAAGGATATTTACAAAAACAGCATAGAACTGGGGCTGCCACTTTTAAGAGCAGTAATTATAGATCTGAATAAACTAAAAAGGTGCAAAATGGAAGAAACCTGAACAGCAGCATTTTGTAAAACTTAGGATTTCAGTTAACAAAAAAAGTTTAGTAAATCAATGTGATACCACTCCAAAAAACTACTGATTGTAGACTATAGAGAAGTATTCAAAATAAGCTAATCCTACACTGTTCTGCTAGCTAGACCTCACAGAGAGTATTTTATTCTGTTCTACAGAGCAGATATTAAGACAAACAGACAAACAGCAGTGCTGTTCAGAGATCAACTAAAATATACTGCAAATCATGTCATAAAAGGTGTAACAGCTCTCATACTTTAAGCTCCTACTATGAGCATGGATCATCACCCAATTTATCCCTAATCCTCTCGGGAACCCAGCTAAATGAGTATTTTCATTCACACATCTCAGAGAAAGATATAGCAGCTCAGAGCGCTAAGTGTTAGTATGTGAAGGGACTGGGAACGGAATCAGATGTGTCTGGCTCCAGAACTGACGTTCTTTCCACTGCCCCACATTGCCTCCCTGTTTGAAATAACTGGGCATGTTTAGTTTGAAGAAAAGAAGCCTTGTGGAGTGAGTGGAAGAAGGAAATGTGTTAGCAGTCCTCAAATATTTGTGGAAGCAGCATTAGACATTTTACTCTGTATGGCTCCAGTGAGTGCAAACTGTGGAGAAACAGATGTCGATTCAACATACAGAATTTTCCAACAGTCAGGAAGGAGTGTCTAGAAGGATGAGGTGGCTTGGCCATTTTGGGACATGACAAATTCCCTGTCACTAGAGGCTGGGTAACCCTATGGAATGTATGCAAGCTCTGGGTATGTGGCTGAATGACCTTTAAGTTCTTTTCCTTCCTGATAGAAACTAAAGTTCAGAGAATTGTTGGAACTTGGCCAAGGTGGTCCTTCTACCCAGGAGACAAGTCTCCCTCAGCCCAGCACTTTTGTACAACCGACTGCTTTCATGCTGAGGGCAAGACAAATTGAATAAATTACCAATAAAATCACATCATCCTCTCTCAAATTTAACCAACATATTCCTAAAGTGACTATTGTCTTTCTCCCTCTTTGGAACCATATGTGGATAACAATCTCTGCAGGAAATCTCCAAAGATAATGGTAGAGGGAAACAACACAGCTGAATAACCAACCCCTGTAACCAGGATCAGATGAACCAAAAAAAAAAAAAAAAAGGACAGATACTGTAGTTGTCTCCATATATTACATAATTACTGGGCACCCCTAAATTATCTTTACACACCCTTTACGTTACTTCACACACCCCACAATCCCAGTCCTGGGACTACTACCCCATAATTCTACTCCTGAAGACCATTTTAGCCACTCTAACGGATAAGTAGGTTGAAGGATCCTAATAGATAATAGTATCTTACACGTGTACAGCTCTTTGACCTTTCACATATCTCATCTGCCGCTCACCACAGCCCTCTAAGAAAACCTTCTTTCTGATAGGCAACTTCTTCCTAGCTGCCCGGGAAGAAAGGCTACAGCACASGGCTCCTTCTCGTTTTCCCCCCATTACTTTCCATATTAGATTATTCCTCCTAGCCTGGATGAGTCAACCCACGAGCAGGTGTTTCGGTTTTCCTCTACTGCTCTCGTCATCTCACACCTTCCCCAGCTGTACTGCCCCACCGCCGCCTGGCAGGGCCCCCGCCCACGCCACCAGTGCAGCTCTCCTGCCCTGGGCGCCCCAGCCCGTCCCATGCCGCCGCTGCAGCCGCAGCGCTGGCCCCGGGAAGCCCCCGCGCGCCAGGCTGCCGCGCACCCCCGCTCCTTCCACCTCCCACCCTGGCCCCCGCCTCGCCCTCCACCCCTCGGTCACATCGGTGTGCCTGCGACCTCTCCAGACACAAAGGCCGATCCCAAGAGGGAAAGCGCAGCCCCCCAGGGCGCCCGGGAGGGCTGGTCAGGCTGCCCAACGGAAAGGGGAAACGCTGGAG